AGCCCTGGCAAGTGTGATGGATAATGAGAGCCCTGCTGATGATAGCAGACAGAGGAAGTGCACCTGTTCTCCTGAGGTTATTCCCCACCAAGAGATCTGAGGTGGCTGTACGATAGAGACCAGAGGGATACTTCCACAAAAGGCACCTGGCCAAGAGTTAGGGTAAGAGTTGGAGAAAATTAAAAAATCAACAGTTCCTCAGGGACCTGAGGAATGGGTTCTGTTCTCCATTCCTCTCAGGCAGACAAGTCCCACCACTGTAAGAGCCAGGCCCCAGAAGGGCTCTCCTTCCTGAGAGGGCTGAGAATCCTCCCCAGCTAGAGACACTGGGGCAGTGGGCTGGGCTAGGAGGTGCACCAAGCCTGGAAAGACCAGCCAATATAGTCTGTTGCAGTTCCTTCCACTTCCTCAAACACCACCAGCAGAGACTACTGCAGGATGCCCCTGCAATAAATCAAGCAGACCAAAACTGCACTGCAAAGCTCTGCAATTAGACTTAGCTTTGGGACCACAGCCCAAGAAATTAGGCTAGGATTTGCATGCTCAACATAAACAGGGTGACTGCTCTGCAAAATAAATGATTTTAAAGTGCCTCATTATCTCCTAACATAACAGCTAACATGTCCAGGATGCAATGAAAAATATCCCCCATCATACCAAGAACCAGGGAAATTGCAACTTGAATGAGGCAACAAAGTTAACTGATGCCAACGCTCAGATGAATTAGATATTAGCATTATCTGATGAGGATTTTCGAATGGCCATCATAAAAACGTTTCAATGAGCAATTACAAATTTTCATGAAACGAAAAATAGAAAACATTAATAAATAAATAGAAATTATAGTTTAGAAATGCACGGAAATTATAGAACTGAAAAATACAGCGGAATTAAAACCTAGCTGGTTGGGTCAATAGTAGGGTGAAAATGACAGGATAGAATCCATGAACTTGACAGATTAGAGAATTTCCTTTATCTGGGTAACAGAGAAAAATCAACAGAGCCTCAGGGACTGAGGAGCAATAACAAAAGATACAATGACTTGGATCAGCTGGAGTCCCAGAAATGAGTGAGGATGAAAGAAGATTTAGAAAATATTAATAGCTGAAAATTTACCAAATTTGCCAATAGACATAAACCTACAGATTCAAAAAGCTGAATAAAACCCACATAAGAGAACTAAAAAAAAATGCACATGAAGACAGCATAATAAACTTTATAAAACTAAATCAAAGGGAAAATATCAAAAATATTCACATAAAAATGACACATTATCTGTAGGAGAACCACCTCGGATCTGTTGGTGGGGGAGATAACCTATTTGAATGATAGTGGATTTCTTATCTGAAACTGTGAAGGTCAGAAGAAGTGACAAAACTGTTAACTGTAAACTTCATAGGCAGCAAAATTACTCTTCAAGAGTAAAAGGGAAATAAGTACATTCTCAGATAAAGAAAGAAGAAAGAATTTGTCACTCACAGACCTATCCTTAAAGTTTGGCCAAAGGAGTAGTAAGAATGTGCAAGACAGTGGAGTAGGAAGAACCTGATCTCATCTCCCTTAGGCACACAGAAATTGCAACTGTTTACAGAGAAACTATCAGTAAGAGTGACCAGAAGACTAACAGAAAAGATCTTGTACAGCTAAAGATATAGAGAAGGAACCACAATGAGGTGAATAGGAGGGACAGAGACACAGTAGTCAAAACTCATAACCCCAGGTAGGTGACCCACAAGTAGGAAGAGAATTACAATTATAGAGGTTTCCCCAAAAGGGTGAGTGGTCTGAGCCCCACATCAGACTCCCCAGTGGTTTGCTTATATTTGGTAAACTATAAGAATCTGATGAGAGAGTGAGGCTCAGACCACTTAACCCTTTCCGATGAAAGAAATTGAATACGCACAAACAGATGGAAAAATATATAATATAGTGCTCATAGACTGGAAGGATTGATACCAGTAAAATGACCACAGCACCCCCAATCTACAGCTTCACTGCAATCCTTATCAAAACACCACCACCAGTTTTTCACAGAACAAGAACAAATAGTTCAAAAATTAGTATGGAAACACCAAAGACCCTGAATAGTCAAAATAACCTTAAGAAATAAGAACAAAAGAGGAGTTATCATGCTTCCTGATTTTAACTTATGCCACAAAGCTACAGTAACCAAATCAGTATAGTGCTTGCACAAAAACAGGCTCATAGATCAATAGAACCTGCTAGAGAGACTGGAAATGAACCCACACCTATATGGACAAGTAATCTGTGACAAAGGAGGCAAGACTATACAATGGGGAAAAGACAGTCTCTACAATAAGTGGTGCTAGGAAAACTTGACAACTACATGCAAAAGAATCAAAATGCACTACTTTCTCACACCATATATAAGAAAAATCTCAAAATGGATTAAAGACTTAAATATAAGACCTGAAACCATAAAACTTCTGAAAGAAAACATAGGCAGTACACTCTTTGACATTTGTCTTAGCAATATTTTTGGATATGTCTCCACAGGCAAGGGAAACAAAACCAAATATAAACTGGGTATCATGAAACTGAAAAACTTTCCAATAGCAATGGAAACTAGTAACAAAGCAAAAACCTACCTACTTGAATGGGAAAAGATATTTTCAAATGATATATCTGACAAGGAATTAATAGCCATGAATATAAATTCAACTTCAAAAAAACAAAAAAACCCAATTAAAAAAAATAGGCAGAGGACTTGAATAGACATTTTTCAGAAGAAGATGGAGATGGCTAAAAAGCATAGGAAAAGATGCTCAAAACCACTATTCATTGGGAAAATGCAAATCAAAACCACACACCACACACACACACACACACACACACACACACACAAAATACTGCCTTATACCTGTCAGAATGTCTGTTTTCCAAAGAACAACACAAAACAAGTATTGGTAAGAATGTGGAAAGAAGGGAGCCCTCTTTCACTATTTATTGGTGGGATTGTAACTTGGTGTCCCTGCTGTTGAAAATGGTATGGAGATTCCTCAAAAAATTTTAAAAAATAGAACTACCATGCAATCCAGCAATTCTACTCCTGAGTATTTATCTGAAGAAAAGAGACACTAATTTTAAAAGGTGTATGTACCCCTCTGTTCATTGCATCATTATTTACAGTAGTCAAGATGTAGAAACAATGTAAGTCCCCAAAGTAGATGAGTAGATAAAGAAGTTGTGGTGTACATATATACTCGACACATGCAGTGGAATATTATTCAGTCATAAAAAAGAATGAAATCTTTCCATTTGTGACAACATGGATGGACCTAGAGAGTATTATGTTAACTGAGAAAAAGAAATACTGTGTGATTTCACTTACTTGTGGAATCTGAAAAACAAAGCAAATGAACAAATATAACCAAACAGAGTCATGTATACAGAGAACAAACATATTACTTCCAGAGGGAAGGGATGTTATAGATGAGAGAAACAGATGAGGGAGATTAAGGGGTACTAACTTTCAATTACAAAATAAACAAGTCAGGTATGAAATGTATAGTGTTGGGAATATAGTCAACAATTACATAATATCTTCATATGGTGACAGGTAACAACTGGAATTATCATGGTGATCATTTTGGAATGTATAAAACTATTGATTCACCCTGTTGTGTACCCAAAACTAACACAGTGATGTAGATAAATTATACTTCAAACAAACATCTCATTGCAATGATATTAGATTTGTGGCTATCTGAGGCAGGAGAGAAGGAGGAATTGGATGAAGGTAGTCAAAAATTACAACCTTCCAGTTATAAGATAAATAAGTATTAGGGCTATAATGTACAACATGATAAAAATAATTAACACTGCTGTACATTATAAACAAAAATTAAGAGGGCAAACCCTAGTAGTTCTCATCACAAGGAGAAAATTGCTCTTCTATTTATTTAATGTTGTATCTATATGAGATAATGCATGTTCACTGAACATGTTCTAGAAATCATTTCATTATGTATGTAAGCCATTGTATTCTACATCTTAAACTTACACAGTGATGTATGCCAATTATACCTAATATAAAAATTACATCTACAAACAGCAGCAACAACAAAAGAACAGCTAAAGGAAAATTTTTCAAAAGAAAATGATAAAAGGAAGAATCTTGGAGCAACAGGGAGAACAAAACAAAGATAAAAAATGGAAAGAAAAGTAATATAAGTACAGACTATCCTTCTCCTTATCAGTTTTATAAATCATTTCTGACAAATGAAACAAAAATTACAACACCAGCTGATACTCAAGGCAATGATATTTAAATGTGGGGATGGTGAGGGACCTATGGAGGTCAGGTTTCCATACTTCACTTGAAGTCGTGGTGAGGTGAGGTGGTAATAAGGAGGTGATATGTGTTTGGAAAAGGCAACAGGAAGAATCCTTGCAGTATTATAAATATTCTGTATCTTGACTATGATGATTGATCTATGAACCCATGCATGTGATTAAATTGCACATGAAAACACACAGATGAGTACAAGACAGATGCAGACATCTGAATAAGATTTGTGAATTGTATAAATATCACTATAGTGATTGTGATTTTATACTGTAGTTTTGCAAGATGTTACCACTTGGGTAAAGCATATGTGTAATCTCTGTGTTATCTCTTATAACTGTATGCTAGTCTATAATTATCTCAAAATGAAAACTTAAAAAATTACTCAGCCATGACCCTAAAAATCCTATAAATACCCTTCCATAGCATCCTCCTTTTTAGACATCACTAGAGCTGTCAAGACAGAGTTCTCCTTGCCGCATTAAGTTTAATAAACTCAGTTTTGTCCAATTAAAAAGAAAAGAGTGTCACTGACATGTACATATATTCCCAAGTTTCCAGAATGTGCTCAAATTCTTACTAAATGAATTCCATATTTTCTACTAGTCACCAACCACAGGAAGACTTTACATATTCAACTCAGTGAACATTCTTATGGAATAGTTGTGTCATAAGCATTCTGGAACCTTGACTCAATTTGGGGGCTTTTAAGTCTGAATCAGTTTTGACTGCTCTTTTTAAAAGTAAGTGCCTCTTGATCATCAAAGCAATGTTCCCTTAAACCGCCTCACATAACAAAGTCTTTGGTTCTGCATCTACACATAGAATCACAAGAATGCAAAGGATACAGAGGATAATCAAAGAATATATAGCTTTAACAATCAAGCCAACAGATAATCCTGAACATGTACAAAACATTCCTTTTATTCCATGTTGCTTTATTTTCCAAATCAAATGCAATCAGTAGGGTGGGAGAAGGATGGAGAAGATCTGAATTTTCTTTTTTATTCTTTTAAACTTATGGTCATTTTCTTAACAGGCGATGGTCCTTCAGCTTAGACTTATGTATACTGTGAGACCATCTCTCTCATTAGAATCACTGGAGAGCAGCCACTTCCCTTTTGGAACTTCGTTCTCTTCTGTTTTCATACTGTGGTCTATGTCTCTTTACCACCTTTGCACCTCTATCTTTGGAAACACAGTTTTCATAGTAGGTTCCCATCATGGGTAGGCTCTGACTTCCACGAGTGATGTGTCTATTACATAGATACTTTATACTGTGAAGGAGGATCCTCCTTGTCTTTATTATCTTGCTGAATACATCTAACTTTGTCTTGACAAGGGCATGGTGACTACCACTGCCATACAATGTGCCTTCCTTAAGAAAGCAGGAAGAAACAGAGAAACTTGTCACTCCCCAAGTTCGTAAGTTGGCTTATCCATTAAATAGTCTGAAAGTGAAAGTCAGTCAGTCGTGTCCAACTCTTTGCGACCCCATACACTCCATGGAATTCTCCAGGCCAGGATACTGGAATAGGTAGCCTTTCCCTTTTCCAGGGAATCTTCCCAACCCAGGGACTGAACCCAGGTCTCCCTCATTACAGGCGGATTCTTTACCAGCTGAACTACAAGGAAAGCCCATTGTAGTTCTACATTTAGAACTACATTTATAGCAATCTACATTTCTCTGAAGAATGGGGCTTCCCAGGTGGCGCTAGTGCTAAAGAACTGCCTGCCAGTGCAGGAAACACAAGAGTTTCAGGTTGATCCCTGGGTTGAGAAGATCCCCTCGAGGACGGCATGGTAATCCACTCCAGTATTCTTGCCTGGAGAATCCCACGGACAGATGAGCCTGGTGGGCTATGGTCCATGGGGTTGCAAAGAGTCAGACAATTTAGCATGCATGCATGTCTAAAGAATTTTTTGTGATATCTTTTGTGATATTTTGTGAATATTTTGTGATCAGATAAAACATCAGGTATATCTCACAGTCTTACTGGAAATTAAAATGATCACAATTATGATTTTTTAGGCAAATTCATAAACTTTGGATTTTAAACAGAAAAGAAATGTAAGTAATGATGAATTCTGCTATTTATAACCTTGAGTTTGGGCACTAAATATAAATACAGCTCCATGAATTTCATGCTATGAATATAATGGGAAAGAAGCAAAACCTAACATGTTTTTATTATCTTGTATACTTATAACAAATTTATATAGATAAAGATAAGAATGAAACTGTGATACAAGAACTGGAATAGAGTGTTGTGCAGTCCATGGGGTCGCAAAGAGTCAGACACGACTGAGCGACTGAACTGAACTGAACTAATATATTAAATTAATTAAACAAAGAGGCCATGAATTTGAGGTGCCTTCAATGCCTTAGTAGCCTACTTCAGTAATCCAAAACCTAAGCCTGCAATAGGGCTTTCCTGGTGGCTTAGACAGTAAAAAATCTACCTGCAATGTGGAGACCTGGGTTGGGAAGATCCACTGGAGAAGGGAACAGCTACCCAGTCCAGTGTTCTGGCCTGGAGAATCCCCATGGAGAGAAGAGTCTGGAGGGCTACAGTCCACAGGGTCGCAAAGTGTCAGACAGGACTGAGCAGTTAAGATAGGACACAGCAAGCCTACAGTACCTCAAGGATAACAAATAGAAACGGGACAACCCATCACGAAAGACCAAATAAACCTTCCCAAGTAAGGTGACCACTGAGCAACAGCCATTCAAGTCATTTCCTTGCTTTGCTTTCCACCTCTTCCACCTAAGAGTCTTTTCCTAGCCCCTCTCAGTGGCGTGCTCCCAAATGCTTTCAGTTTGATGATGCCTGATTGCAACAGGTTTTTAAACTGCATTTATTTATTTTTAATTGATTGATGATTCCTTTTATAATATTGGTTTTATTTCTGTCATACATCAACATGAATTAGCCATAGATTTTTGCACTAGTAAACTTCAAAAAAATATTTTTGGTTGTTGCATTTTTCTTTCTTTCTTTTTATTTTTTAAATTATTAAAGTATGATAACACATTTACGGGAGACTTAGAAAATACATGTGTTACATATGTTCCACTATATATGACAATTATTTTTTTAAGTAGATAAAAATTTTTAGTTGGAGTTTCAATATCAAACTCTCAAAAATTAATAGAATATATAGAAAAGTAAAAGAATATAGCAGAGCTGAAAAGCACTATGAATCAATTCAACATAATTAAGATTTACACAATTTTCACACAACAGCAAGATACAAATTCAAGTTTCCATAGACTATAAACCAGGAGACATTGGAACATATCCAGGGACATACAACAAGATGCACAAATTTAATGGTCCAAAGGTATTGAAATCAGTCTGTTCTCACCACTGTGGAATTATGTTCGAAATCAATATCAAAAGATATTTGAAAATAACCCATATATTTTCAAGTGCAATGTGACAGTTACCAAGCAAGATCTTTGACTTAGCCATTAAAAGCCTCAAAGTTAGAAAGCTGAAAAACACAGAGGACAATGGCAGAGAAGAAATCATTTAAATGAGAAATTAATATCAAAGATACTTTAAAAACCCCATGTACTTGGAAATTAAATGCTCACTTTTAAATAATGGGTGTATCTAAAAAGGCATAACAAGGAAAATTAAAAATATATTTGTGACAGAATAAAAATGAAAACAATTTATCAGAATTTGTTGCATGCAGCTGAAACTGCTCAGTGCAACTAAATACTATGTGGAATGTTGAATAAGGTATGAAAACAAATAATGGACACTAGCATAAATTCTGTAAAATTTGAGCAAAATCTGTACTTTAGTTAATACTGTATCACGTGTTATTTTCCTGTTTGTTTGTTTTTTATTTTTACAACATAGTATTTCTTTACATTCTCAGAACTGGGTTAGAAGTTTCAAGCCCTATTCAGCTTACCTTTAAATCACTAAGATAATAAGCTTTCTGGACTTTTAGCAGTAATACTAGATGACAGGATAAGTGGAACTACATCAAAGTTTTGAGTGAATGTAAGTTAGAAACCTAGCATTCTGTTCATGCTTAGTCACTCAGTCATGTCTGACTCTTTGTGGCCCCATGAACAGTAGCCCACCATGGGATTCTCCAGGCAAGAATATTGCAGTGGGTTGCTAGTCAAAATATGCCTCAGTTTGTCTTTTAACAGAGAGAACTGTTCCCAGTCTTTTGAACTGGAAATGTGACTAGCCTTTTTAGCGGCAGCAGTGGTAACTGCCACACAGTAAACAAATTATAAAATTAGAATGACTGATATTCAAATTCAAAGCAAGTTCTTTTCAACCACTCAGTGTTGGAGTCAGATAGACTTGAGTTTGAATCTAGCTTGACCAGAAGCTCTGTGACCTTGGACAAATCATATAACTTCTCCAAACCCTAAGTTCCTTATCTATAAAATGGGGGTGATTATAGTATTTCCCAAAGAGAAATGTGGGCAATAAATGATTTAATACACGCAGAGTACTTAAAAATTCCTAGCACTTAGTATTTTAAGTATTAGCTCTTATACTGTTACACTTTTTATTACTTCCCCATTCCTGCTTTTCTGCTTTCTTTCTGACAGAGTTACTAGCACTTTAAGTATGGTGCTCTTCCGTCCTGTTGTGACCATAACTGTCATCTTACACCTCTGTCACTGACACTAGTGCAGACCCGAGTGAGACGCATCTTGGTTTGGGCACGTCACAAGGTGGGTGGAGGCTGTCAGATCCAGACAGCCGACACATTCCCAGCAGACAACCACCGACTAGCCCAGTGCTTACACAGCTGACAAACCCGGTCCTAGAGCCAAAACATATCACTCAGAGATGCCCCTTTCCTAATATGGGGCAGTGACAGTTCATGGCACTTTGCCTTTAAAACTCTACCCCCTTTCTCCTACTTTTGAATTTCCTGCCAAGATCCTACCTAGACTCTGTGCTGGATTAAATTCCCTGCTTGGGAGGAAAAAGTTTTACTCAGTGGTCAATGTTTAGTCTCTAATAGATTTTTTCCTCTTAAACAGTATGCGTAATAATAACAGATTCTTGACGTATTTATTTTTCTCCTTGAAAGCTGTGTAGATTGGTATTGCTACTATTACAAATTTCCACAAACTCAGTGGTTTAAAACTCACAAGCATATGCTTATAATTCTGAAGGTCAGAAGTCAGAAGGCAGTTTCACTGGTCAAGATGTTGACAGGCCTGGTTCCTTCATGAAGCTCTGAGGGGAGAGTTGGTTCCCTTGCCTTTTTTAGCTGTAGTGACTTCCTGTATTCCTTGTCTTATGGCCCCTTCCTCCACTTCAAAGTGCATCTCTCTACTTCCATTTTCACAATATCTTAACCTCTAACTCCTGTGTGCCTCTTATAAAGACTGTTATGATGACAGTGTGCTGGCTGAATAACCCAGGGTGATCGCTCCATCTTAAGAATCTTTATTAATTTTCTTAAACCATATCAGGTAATACAGGTTCAAACTGTGATGCTGGAGAAGACTCTTGAGAGTCTGTTGGACTGCAAGATCAAACCAGTCAGTCCTAAAGGAAATCAACCCTGAATATTCATTGGAAGGACTGATGCTGAAAGTGAAGCTCCAATAGTTTGGCCACCTGATGCGAAGAACTGACTCATTGAAAAAGACCTCAATGATGGGAAAGATTGAAAGCAACAGGAGAAGGGGGCAACAGAGGAAGAGTTGGTTTCACCAACTCAATGGGCATGAGTTTGAGCAAAC